CAAAAATAAGGTCATATTTTACCTGCTGAAAATATAAAAGAAAAACATTCTAGAAAAATCCCCTTTTATTCCAAGAAAAAAACGAAGTATTTTTAAAAGAATATGGTCCTTTGGGGTGCAATATAATGTCAAGGGAATGTTCTGAAAACTAAATTGTATACAACTGAAGGGGCAGAAGGTCATATCCAAAATAATTTAATTTATTTTGGAGAACAAAGAAAAAGTTGTATATTTTAAAAGTGACTATTTTTTTCATGAAGGTGAAGAATGTTGTAGGACACACTTTTACAAATACAGTGTATGTTACTCGAAAATATATCTTGTACATACTTGCGCGGTGAGCTACGCGTCCTGATGGAGCCGAGGGCAGTCTTGCACTGGGCACTGAGGGCAGTCCTCCCATGCTCCTCAGGTTATCCTCCATGTCCTCCTGCTCCAGTTCCTCTAGCTCGGCCAGCAGCTCATCCTTATAACAAAATGTTCTCATTGGTTTAGAAATATCTTAAAAAATAATAACCGCAGTGTGAAGAACCACGGCAAAAGGTATACCTCGTCGTAAGTTTCGCCGTAGGGTCTGGAGATGGCTTCGTTGATTTCCCGGGCCACATCTTGCTGCTCGTTGATGTCTTCCATCAGATCGTCTATCTTGTTTAGATCCCTGAGAAAAGACAAACATGTTTTTGGTTTTTCTAAATTGACTGAGTTTCCCTGAAAATTTGTGCTTCTAGTTACACATTACCATCATTTCTGAACATCGAGCCAGCGGAATTTCATTTGACAAAATCAGGTGGTTTGGTTGAACATTTTGGTCTTTAAATATGCATTGTTTAATTTTCTTTTTGTGTCAGTTTGACAGTGAACTTGGTGTATTCCTCACATGCTGTCGTGGACCTTCTTCATGGCCTGGGCGGCGTAGCCCATGTTTCTCACCACCTCTGTGTTGGTGTGCGAGTTCTCCAGAGCTTCCCGCTGGAACTCGATGGTGGAAAGCGTGCCGTCGATCTGTGTCAGCTGCTGCTCCAGGCGTTTCTTTCTCTTCAAGGCCTGCAGGGCAGCTAAGAGGTTGTTTGCGGACATTAGCCTCACAACAGACGAATATGATATGATTAATTCCATGAGGTCATGGTGATGCTATTTTTAATCTGCCGTGCCGTGATCCAACAGGCAGTGAGAGTTTTCATATGAGTAAAATACACACTGAAACCTTCAACTTTGAAGGGTTGAAACATGTTGATGCCGTCGCCAACATTTTATTCTTGCTGCTGCTAACAGCTTTACAATCAGTGAATTAAACTTTAATTTTTCTCTACAGGGATTTGAGAAGTGACAGAGAGGAGTTTTTTTGTGTGTGCCAAACTA